CAAAAAGGGTCCAGGATCGAATGCAGGAGCAAGCTTCCACTTTATTCGATCAGCCACTACAGGTTTTGCAGTGGAGCCCAAGGATGTGATCCGGACGGGCTGCGCCTCTTCCCTAACAGAGTCTTTCCCGAGGTGCGAAGAGGCCGTAGGTTCTTTCTTCGAAGTTTTCCGACGCTTGTGGGTGTAGGGGTCAAATGAAACTTGAATGTAATCTAAAAAACTGTGAATATCCTCAAAGTTCAAATCAATCTTCGACGGAGTGCGCAACAAAAAAGCTTGCTTAGCTAATTGGGCCAGCTTCTCACCTGAACGGCCAAGGCTCTCCAGAGATGCGGTGGGCGCACTCAAGAAGTAGTCAATCAAATCCTCCAAACGCTCCAGCATGTCATGTTGCTGCGAGCTCATAGGGAATCCAACTCTCCCACACTCCGGTGGGCTGTGCGCACGCCCCAAGGTGATCCAGTTAAGGGCCACCACAACTGCTTGGAGGCAGAGAGCTTTGGTCTCCAGAAACCTGAGCCGCCCGCGGCGACGTGGTGAGAGTCTGCCAGTGGCTGTCCATCTTCCCCACACCGGGGAGGGACAAGGCCAGCAATCAGACCTAGCTGTGAACGGTCCGTCAACGTCGCGGAGTGGAGTCAGACTCTTCCGAGCAAAACATTGAAACCCGCTCGGAAGGTTGGCTGTCTGAAGGACGGCTCGTACGAGCTCATTGCATCTAATTTCACTTGGGAGTTCACGGCCAGTCACGTCGGGCTTCAGAGGCCGCCCGAAACCGAACGTCGTCTGGCCCCTCCCTGCCTTCTGGTTCAGAGGCACCTTGGCAGCGGCATCACAACCCCGAGTGGAAGCGTCTGGACGAGAGCCACAGGCCGGCCCCCGACCGCAGAAAGCAGTAGGGATACACTCCCCCTGCTCTGTGGACGAGGAGCGCAGCAAAGGGCCAGCCTGCAGCCTCCCAGACGATGGGGCGGATGCGTGCCTCAGTGTGAAGCCGCCCCGGTGGTCGACTCCTCCTTTCCCTTCTTCTTCGTTGAGCGCCAGAGCTGCCTGTTTGAGTTGTCCGTCTCTTCTCCTCTTCTTTTGGCATCGGACGGACTGTCCTCCTCCAGAGCGTTGGTGGCCAGGATCTTCGTATCCGGACACTCGAGGTTCCTCATGAATGCCGCGCTCGCTGTCAGCAGTGCGGTCCGCAGCCCAGCCAAGGTCGAGCAGCTGTAGTCCGCCGCCATTTCACGCTTGAGGTGAGCACAAGCGCTCCAAAATCAACTGGCGGAGATCCAAAATCAGCCCCCCCGCAACAGTGGTCTGGAGGACTATGGCAATCTTGATCGAACCGACGGCCGACTTCCCGTAGGCTTCCCTTCCAAACAACTCTTGATCCCTAAGGCGCCCCCGCTTGTCTCGGAGCCACCTAAGACTGAAGAAGGAGGGTGTGATCTCTTTGGGTGGGACTGATGCGCGAGCAGCGCCAACTCTTCCATCTGCAGCAGCTCCAACACCCCCTGCTTTTGGGTCTCTAGGGTCTGAGACGGTCGCTGCGGCCTGGTTGCCTTGATGAATGTCCCAAGGCACATCGCAGTCGCTCGCGCCGCCAACTCCTCCTGACAGCGAAGTCCCACCATGGAGCCCCCAAGGTGCACAAGGACGAGGAACTCCTGGGCATGGCCGGTCATCCCATCGTCTCGGAAGTCCGTGAGCTTGAGGGCCCCAGTGAGGCACCCTCGACGCCGCTGGCGCCTAGGAGGGCTCCCCCTCCATCAACCCAAGCGCTGAAGGGGTGCAGGCCATGTTCGGCCGGCACCCAGGCAGTAAGCTTCGCCTTCTGCTCGCGACGGGAAGCCGTGACAGACGGCGTCAGGGTGAAAAGTCGTATATGGGCCACGGACAGCAGCCAGGAAGGTGGTGTAGTCCTCTGTCCAACCAGCAGCCTTAGAGGGCGCAGCTCTCAGGACAAGATAGCGCCGGTTGGCTTGTGGGATATCCGGGCTCGCTTGAAACGCTCCTTCCTCGTGATCCAGCTTGAAACGAGCAATGAGGCCAGCACGCAAGGCGCGTGCCAGCCTAGCTGCAGGCGTCCAGCCCGACGTGCCCGTTCTAGCCCTCAGCCGCCCCACCAAATGCCTCCACTGGCTCAAGGTCCAAAGCCTCGAGTGCCTCAGGTGTGAGCGCCTCCACTCCTCAGACCAAGCTATACCGGAGCTTGATCTGCAGTGCCCCCTCCGGGGCTGGCAAGAGCACCCAACCGGGGGACAGGTGTAGAAGGTGAAATCACTGTAAAGGAACTTTGAGATGCTGAATCGGCGCTGCCTCGATGATCTGGAGTCCGGCTGATCCGGATAGTCAAACCACCAAAATCCAGAGCCAGGCTGTCGCAGTCAGGGTCCGGGTCACCGCTCATGCACGTCCCTCACGATAACCCGACAAGCGGCGCCGCAGCGCCTGATGATCCACGGCAACTGAAGTCGGAGCCACCACAGGAACGAAGCTCACCAGCAGGATATGGAGCAACCGCTGACAGGTCGACGAGGTCAGGGCCAAGGTACAATGCAAGCCCCGCAGCAACAGCCCACGCCCAAACAGCAGACGCCGAGCAGTGCGACAGCGGCCAGGCCCGGCCCACAGGCCTTCGAAGAGCCAGGCCACAACCAACGCACCTCGCGAGCGAACTCCAAGGCGAGGGGCCAGTTCATCCAGGGGCTTGAACCAGAAAGCTTGAGGCACAGCGTGTTATGCTCAGTGATATTGGTGACATATATATATATATGTATATTTATTTATACATGTTTATAAATATTTGTTTTCATTGACATATGGGCAAGACCATGTTTGTTGCCCCCATCCTTTCGACCTCTCTGTCCCTGTCGGTCCGTGGTCTGTCGCAACACTCCACCACACCGCAGCCACGTCTGAGCTGCCACGCGAGTCGCATGGGCGAAGGTGGAAAGGCATAGTTGCACGTGGACTTGGGGATCCACCTACCCGGTCCAACTCCTTTGGACACTCCACCATGTGGGGATCCGCTTTGTGGCATGCGCACATTGTCAGGTGAGGGGCACATGTGTTAAAGGATCATGCGGGTGTCCTATAGTAAGCTCGATGGACAAAAAGGGAAAAGCTGGCTTGATTTTGCTTTTCAGATACAAATACAAACTGTGAAAGCATGTCCTATCGATCTTTGAGGCCTGAAACTTATTCTGCTAGAGGCTAGAGGCGTCCACAAACTTATCACATGGGCCAACCGTTCATAGCGATGTTGCTGTTTGATCCTTCGACTTCGGCTCTTCCTACCATTGAGACGCAAAGGCCCAAAATGTCGGGCTCACCCACCAATAGGGAAGGTGAGGTGGGTTTAGACCGTCGTGGACAGGTTAGTTCTCCCTACTGCTGATGATGATGCTGAGACAATATATAATCAAAGTCAGCACGAGAGGCACACTTCGTTCAGATACTTGGTTCATGTGGTTAGCTCCAAAGCTAAAACCACGAAGCTATCATACGTTGGAGTACGACTGGACACCTCTAAGTCGGAATCCACTCTAGCTAAGCAGTTTTGCTCACCACCTCCATAGCGATACGCCAATTAGGCTTCGGCTCCAGTGCGTTTCAGATTCCACCGCCGCTAAAGGCATGGTCGAATGATCATGCTGTGTGGAGGTGAAAGATCTTTTGAGACAACTTATATATATAGATGTACGAGGGACCTCCATGTATAATACATATATTATTGAATCCAGGTATTGTAAGTGCTGAGAGTGTCCTTTGTGATACGATCCACTGAGATTCATCCTGTGTTTTTGTCTGTCGCTTTCTCTCTGACTGCATCTCTTTCTCCATCTCTATCCCTCAACTCACTCCCCTTGTCAGCTCTATGCCCACACTTGATTACAGGCACTTATGTAAAGATCCCGCTGTTCAAAAATGAACACTAATTGTGAGCAGAGACGTTGTCCTATGGATGATGTGTTGTATGTGTGGTATTATTAGCTGTTTTTTGTATGTTCAATGTCCGAGAAGTGACCAAAAATCCTCTTTCCCCACTCTTGTCAGTGAGGATGCCAGGTTCAGAGCAGCAATACCACGAAGCACCCAAAAAAGAAGCTGACCACGAAGCTCCGCGCCGATCACGGAGTCGTTCGCCCTTCTCGCTCCGCGTCGTTCGTCCGCGTCGGTTCGCCAGTCCCCACCAGTCCCCACCAGTCCCCAACCGGATCCTCCGGTCCGATCGCGCCTGAGTCGGTCGATCCAACGACGCCAAAAGGGTCGCGTGGCGGTGGAATCCACCTCGGAGCGCGCGAGCGGACGCTCCGAGCGTACGTGGCGCGCCACATACGTGGCGCGCGCCGCTGGGCGCCCGTGGCGCTCCCCCAGCTGGACCCCTGGGATTCATGATTCAAAGTCAAGACCCAAATGGCGTTGGATGGCTTCACGGACGAAGAAGCGGCTTTGTTTGTGGCCAAGCCCCGGTTTTTTGGGCTGCCACACCGACATGAAGCTTCCAGACGGCAAGGAATGGAAGCTGTTGTTGCTGAACTGCCTACGGCACGCAGTTCACGTTCTTTACGCGAACGGGTTCCGACAACGACCTCGTCCCCTCCAGAGGGTCGCGGTGGCTGACGAATGGTTCCATCCACCGGTCTCAGGACATCTCCAAAGCCAAAGCCAAAATTAGACCTAAAGAAGAAGCTTGGAGCAGAAGAGCTCATCTGAAACTCTCGAAAAATCGTCTGGAAAGTGTTTTTGACAAGCCTGCTGAGCTGCATCACGAACCTCGAAAGCGAAGGTGAATTGCGTCTTGGCCATTCACAAGTTCTGCGAATTCACCAATTTGTGAAGTAACTGATAAATGAGCGCATTAAAGTAGGGAGACCTCCCAGTTCGAGCCCCTGGAAGAAGGAAAATAGGCCAGTCTACCCACTGGGTATTCCCATCAAAATACACGCCCAAATGAGTATCTCAGAATCTCTGTTTTCCACATGCACTTGACACATCTGAGGCATCTACCCTTCTGGTGCACTGTGGAAAACCTGGTGACAGGCTGGACAAAAAGGACTGTCGATGTTCTACAACAGCCAAGGCGGCCGACAAAAATCCAGGAGAACCTCTTTTCTGTTCGTCTGCGCTTGGGGCCGGCACATACCGGTCAAAAATAACCGGAGCAATGGTGACCTCGGCTGGAAGAAACGCTGCTGCGAGGTGTCAACAAAAAGCGCAAGCGCTTCCTGCGCTGAAGGTCACATCGGCAAGAGAGGAGGTTCCAATGGAAATACCGGGGCCGTGGGCGGCGTTGCTCCAGCCCATGAAGTCGAAGTAGTAGCGCTTCTTGGACTCCAAGTGTCGCCTCAATGTCGGTCCGTCGGAGGCAACGTAGCTGAGCTGTGACTGTCAAACAAGTGACACATGGAGTCCAGAAGAAAGGACTGGTCTAAACGAATTCATGCCGGGGCGCGGATCGCCATGGCCGTTCTCGTGACAAGCTGGCAGGTCGTACATGCAAACGTGGATCGGAAAATCCTGCAGAGGACGTTCATCAACAAACGAGGGAAACAACATCGGATGTCAAAGTAAAAACAACGTGGTTTCTCACTCCTTCATAAAATGGTCCAAGCTAACTCGAGCTCCCATCTTCAGCTGCCAATTCAACCTTGGCTCAGAAGGTGACTATTGCTCAAAATGATGCAAAGCCAAAGGCAGAATCCAAAAAGAACGAGTAGAGCACACAGGTTGATGGGCAAGTACTACCTCGAAAGTAGTGAGCTGCCTCCCAAACCCCAATGCTAGAGGAAAAGTGACGAGCCAACCCCCTAGAAGACTGTGCCGTATCTTTTGACGTATACCTACTCACACAGCGAACCCATAAGGATCCATAGGGCCATAGGGTCCCTTTCGTCATCTCACGCCATCTCAAGCGATTCTGCATTTGATTTCTGTGGGTGTGAACAAAACCACAAGGCCAAACGAGGGCAGGTCTGCTCAACATGTGCCGAAACAAGAACCAAACAGGTCCTTTCATGATTCAATCAGCGTCGCAGCGTCGAGGCACACATCCAGAAATGGAGCAGGACCCCACAGCCTGAACGTGTAGGTGTCCTGGCTTCGAAAAGAAAAAAACGGCCGTTCCGAACCGACTCCACGGATCGGAGCGGCGGAGTTCCGAATAGACCGCATCACGGTCGGGTCGGGTCGGGTCGGTGCTCCTCTGTATTGAGTGTACCCTCAATCTCCTGGATCATCTTACTGTACTCAGAGAGACCTGGCTGCTTCGAAGAGCCCCAACCACGGACTGACTCCATATGTGGACGGGCTCCGGAAATTGGAGATGCTTGACCATCCTCCGGAATGTTTAATTCCTCAACAGTCCAGATGATTGTTCTCATGTCTGATATTGTCTGATAATAGAATCTTGACTCAAAGGTCTAAAAGATGACTATGTAACTGATCTCAGCATACACTGCTACCAGCGCATCCCGAACGCATCCCGAACGCCAAGCGCCCCACCCATATCTCTCCGCATCAAACTCAACCTCAGCACATGCGTGGCCTTATGTGGTCTCACTGCCTCATGGCCTTGTGTGGTCTCGGCAAAAAGGACATCGGCTGGGCTCCACGCCCGTATTTGTCGCTGGGGTCGTCCAAGTCACTGCAAATGTGAGGTATAGGCCTTCGCAAAAAAAAGAGACACACAGGCACACACTCACTCACTCACTCACGCACGCACGCACTCACTCACTCACTCACTCACGCTCGCACGCACTCACTCACTCACTCACGCACGCACGCACTCACTCACTCACGCACGCACTCACTCACTCACTCACGCACTCACTCACTCACGCACTCACTCACTCAC